ATTTGATTATTTTCACATCGTCAAACAATTTTAATAGACTTAATTTATTTGTTATGTTGTACATAGATTCTGTCAAAATTCTGGGTAACGATTTTCTCAATTAATTAATACAGGGTATTCCATTTAAAAAATTGATAAAATCGAAACCTCGTGCTTTGATACACCCTATATACAACTATAATGTATTTAAAGGTTTCGGTTGAAACGTACATTTTAAATCCCCGGTACAAGTGGTACAACGGCAGGACGAAACCGTTACAAGATGTGTAAGGTGGACTGCGCGCGCCACCACTTGGTGTGGCAGGATTAGAACTGTGTCGTATACCCAGTGATACCAACTTAATTGGATGTTATGCCCTGGTTATACTACACTTTTCCTTCCTTAAATTTAAACTTTCCTGAGAGTTATAATACAACTTTAAATTCAAATATATTTAACATTTTTTAAATTACGCTTACTACGCCTAGGTGTACACTGATCATTAATTACCTCAATATCGTTATTAGAGTTATTTACTACCTCATGACTTACATTGCTACTGTTAATAAAAGTACTGAGTTGAACATCCTGCATTTGTATATTTACTTCTTAGCTGTTGTTATCAACATGAATGTCCTCATCTTTTAGTTCAAATGAACTCTATAATTTGATTAATATATGTGTTTTCCAGATTTTTACTAGTGACGGAATATAAACCAAATAACTTCTATTTATTACGATTTGTATCCCATTGAAATTTGATATATTTTTTTAGTAAATTGTAAAGTGGGTATAATACTGTTGCAGCGTTAGGTATAAATTTATTGTAAAAATTGACTAGACCTAAGAAAGATTTAACTTGTGTAACATTATCTGGGATGGGTGCCTCCTTAATGGCTCTAATTTTATCACCATATGTGTGCAAACCTTTTTTATCTATTTATACCCTAAATAAGTAACCGACTCTTTAAAAAATTCACATTTACCTAATTTAACTGTAAATTCCTTTTTCTCTAACTTTTGCAAAACTTTATAAATCCTCTTTAAGTGTTTTTTTTTTCTATTTTTACCGTTACTTACGATATCATCCAGAAAACATACTACCCCTTCGCTTCCCACCAATATTTGCTCCATTATACGCTGAAAAATGGCAGAAGCATTTGCAATGCCAAAAGGGAGCCTATTGTAGACAAACCTTTGAGTGTTTATGGCTGTTAACAATTTTTAATCTTTAGTTCTACCTGTTGATAAGCATGTGATAAATCTATTTTGGTGAATTCTGCACCACCTTGCAAATTTGAAGAAAGTTCCTCAATGCGGGGTAGTGGATATTTCTCCATCAGTAAAACTGGGTTAAGAATCACCACATAAGCGTCCTTTTTTTTACTACTGGAACAATGGGTGTACTCCACTCGCTGAATAATACTATACTGATTATATTCTCGTTTATAAATCTCTCGAGTTCTGCTTCAACTCCTTCCCTCAATGCAAAGGGTATTGAACGACTTTTAAAAAAACGTGGTATTGTTCCTTATTTAATCCGTAGTTTCATGTTGCCTCCATTGAATTTTCCTAATGTAGAAGAAAAAACTTTGGTAAAACTATTTTCTAAGTCTTTTTTACATTTATTATATCATTAGATATCTTAATTAAATTGCTATTTATAGTCAACTTGAACAAGTCAAAAAAATTCCAACCTAACGGTAGTGGGCCCCCATCTTCAATAATAATAGTTTGAGAAGATTCTTCTGGTTTTTATGCTCTACATTAACCAAAATATAACCTAATGGATAAATACTGTTACCATCATAAGTAACTAAACATTTTTTTGTATGTGCTACTGGTATTTCTACAAAGTATTTTTCATAAAAGTTTTCTAAAATTACACAGACTATCCTGTATCCAGCTAAAATTTAAAATGTTTTGCATTAACCAAAATTCTAATTAGCACTTCATTTTTATTATCTAAATTCAAATTAAATATATGATTAATAACATCATTGTCAGAGTCATCTGATGTATTTACATATTCCTCAGTATTTGGCATCTCTAAAAAACTATTTCTATATTTATAACAAACTTTAGCAATGTGTCCTTTAATTTTACATATGTTGTAAATAGAATTCTTAAAAAACACTTATGAAATGATTTGATCTTCCACACTTAGACTAGGTAATAAAGAGACGTCTCTGAAAATCTTGTTCCATTCTGACACCAACGATATTTGACCAAAGGCGTAACATGTTGGAAATAAAAAAGCGAACTTGTATTTATGTTATTAGTACTTTATTGATCTTTTTAGGTATAAAGCAAGTTCAAAGCGCAAAATTTAAAATAAATAAGTAACAATAAGTAAGACACAAGAAAAAAATATATAGAAATAAATTGAATGAAATCGTTTACATAATAAAATGAGTGTTTTTTTTTTAATTCCGCAAAATAAAACATAATGATCTACATGTATTAAAAAAAGATTTATTTTACTTAATAAAGAATGACACTACCCATATAGCACAGACACGTTTTAAAGACATCTTAAATACGTTTGTTCACGACGTTCGTAACGTTTTGAAGATCTACACTAATATCCAAAAGATGTTTTTAAGGCGTCTATAGGACGTACTTTGTTACAAAACAAGACGTCTTTAGGATATCTAATTTTGTACGTCTGTAAGACATCCAGTTTTGTACGTCTTGAAAACAAACCGTATTGGACGTGTTTAAGTCGTCTATTTACTTAATGGAAATTCGTTTAAAAAAATAAAAGAATACTTGTCTACTATATTTAATACTGTTTATTATACATTATTAAACTATTAAAACTGACACAGAATAAATATTATTTTACAGTATTAAATAAAATAATTAAAAAATGACTTCAAGAACTTGTTGCTATGAGAAACTATTCCAGTTTGGTCGATTTAAAAATTTCTTTCATGGTGTTAATTTTAGCCAAAGCTTCTGTAACTCATGTCTCCGTAGAATATAATTTTGTTGAGTTATTGTTTTAAGGCGTTTTTCTTAAAAATAAGACATTATTAAAGTTAGGTTATGAAATTTAAAGGCAAATAATTTAAAACTTGCCGTTTTTAATGATAAAGTCTACTAGTTCCGGTATACCACTGTTCCAATAATGGCAAATAAATAATATAAAAAGACAATACATAAAAACACACAACTACGAAAAAGTAATGACAATGTCCACAGACTATCGCTAAAATATTACACAATGGCTGTCCCGAGAAGAAGGCAGCTAGAGGAAGAACACGACTCGATACGCGCGCGCGAGACTCCAATCAGACAATGACAATGACGAATGACGATCTACAGTTGTCTTCTAAGCTATTTTATGCTAGGGCTTTCTAGGATAGATTCCTTATTTAAAGTTCTATTTGAAGGGTTTGGCTCAGCTTCCAAATGCAATGCTCTTCTTTTTAAGTACAACAAACAATCAATTATTACGGTAATGTTTTGAATTATACAGAAAAGGGTTGCTAAATCCTTAAAAGTTCATGACATAATAATGAAAAGTAATTAAAAAAATATATGTCTAGTTATGTTTATTAGTGTACGCATCTTCTTCGGCTGCATGTATTTAGAGAATTCAGAAAATATAGTGGAAACTGCTTCATTTAGTAAACGTTCTTATTGTCCGTCCCATAAAAAAATGTCTTTCAAAATGTTTGTTTGGCCATTTTAATATCATTAATTGCTTAAATATCAATAAAAAGCATAAAATAAACAATTTTAGTGGATAAAATTTATTACTCTGGAGTGAGAAATGTACAATATGTAAATAACAAGTTGTATAACACCAAATAAAATGAAAAATATAAGAAAATATATAAAGTCAAAACGATTAATGTTTATTATTTACCTGTAAAACGTAATATCTGCTTATTTCTTGCCGCTATAACTTTAACACTGATATGCCACATAATATACCATTGTAATAAACCAATTATTAAATGTCGTTTAATTCAAAAATCAGAAATAAACACGAACAAAACCTTTGGTGTCACCGAAATAATTATCACCAAAATAATGGCGGCCAATAGATAATCGGCACAGAATACTACGTGTGCTCGATATACTTGTTACGCGTCCTCTCTTTATTACCTAGTCTAAGCTTCCACAGACCTCACATAACCTATTTCTGTTGTTTACGTTGTCAGCTGTCGAAAACGTCCACGTCTTTTTTTCCATAAGTCGTTAGTGGCTGCCGACGTCGATGGCTCACCGGTCAGGTGCGACCTCGGTATCCAGCCACAACTACCTTCACCATCTATGGCTGATATTGGGAAACTTTCAATATTCCGTTGTTTGTTTAATGATGTACTACACATTGTAGTGTCACACTCTATAATACGTAGTAGTTTTTTATTCCGCTTAAGGGCGATAAAATTTAAGGAACGCAATGTACAGAAATATTTCTTAATCCCCCATTAATTACCTTTTCAATGATATGGTACATTACCTATTTAAAATTAAGGTATTGGAGAGGTGCCAGGGAGGGGGTTGACACATGACAGATGTCTGTATTGTTAAAATGTGCTTAATTTGTAATAAAAATCGACCTGTTTTAGCATTTTCTTAAAATTCAATGATTATTGCTGAAAAACAGGATGAAACTGTTTTGAGTGACCCTCTGTATATCAAAAATGGCTAGATTTATCGAATTAGTTCATAGAACAAAATCTGCTTAAAAAATTATTTTTTACAAGATGCGCTACAGAAGAAAGATCCTCCCATCGAAATTGAGAGCAGCGCCATCTACATATTGCACTATAACTGAAGCTCTCTTAGTGCTCTGTGAACTGGCTTTTACAGAATTAAAATATCTCTATTACCTACCAAAATATCCGGCCTGGGAGTTTTTCTTGGTACACCCTGTATGCAAGCAAGCTTTTGAAATAAAGTAGAAATTAAAATTCCTTTACTAAAATTTAACAATAACAAAGATAATTCCACGATTCGAGATAGCATAGTCCTTCATTAAAATGTTTATTATAATTTCAAGCTGCCCGGCAAGAAAGGAATGGGGCCCAGCGGTTGGTCTATTCCAGCTAAATTGCAAATATTCCTTTGGCTGGGATTAGTGAAACACAAGAAAAACGTTCTCACAGGACTGCCAGGCGGATATGAACACACTCAGGAAATCAAGAATGTTGAACGACCACGTGCCTTGCCACCAAATACCATACATTATGTCGAGAAACATGTAAGTCGTTTTAATTTAGTTACAATAAAGTTACTTTAAATATAGGTACATTTTAAAGGCGAATGATGCAGTTAGAGAAAAATTTAATTATGAATGGAACTTGATATACGCTTGATTAATATTATACGAAATGTCTAAAAAAAGTTGTCTATAACTAGAAATGTTTTACTATTAACTCTACAAAAGTCATGCATCACTTTGTAGAATATTTACTGATATACAGAGAATATAGAAAATATTGATTTATGCTGAAAAGTACAAATTAAAATAATAAAAATTGAAAAGTTGAAAAGTAATGGTCCTCGATTTAGGAAAAATAGTGGATTTTTAATTTATTTACATGATAATATTGAAATAGTATTTAAAAAATATTTCCAAGTTTAGATCTTTGGCCATAAAAATAAGTAGGGGAGATGTGGGTAGCTCCAGACACCTAATTAAATATCCTAAATTACAAATAGCTGAGAGGAGTTTTTGCAAAAATATAAGAAAGCTTGTAACAACCACCGTCACTTAGAAAGTAACTGTTGTCACTAAATAATAATGTAGTGGCCAAAAGGACTCTAGTCATCAACGGGAGGTACACTGTAAGTGTAAAGGCAGCGACTGTCACCAGCCACAGTCAGGGGATAAGGTCCTTAGAGCTTATCCACTCTCACCGTGACAAAAAAAAAAGAAAAAGAAAAAATAAAATAATAGGTTTAAAATGAAAGAATTTTCCCCCGTGATGAATAGTGCGAGCGGGTTAAGGAAATGGTTTGGCAAACTGATAATAGGCACTTATAGTCCTTACTTGGGGGTAGGTTCGCCGGGTCTTCGCAAAAGTGCCCGGAGCAGGGGCGGTTTCTCCATTGGTTCATTTGTGCAGTGAACACCCAGTTAAATTTCATAAAAACACTTATTTTAAAATTACATAAATAACAAAAATATAAATTTAATTTTAATATTTTTATTTTCATACGTGTTAATCTATATTTTTTGGTACATCATTGCCCTCTGGCTGATCGCGTCTCTGTGACATAGAATACCTAAGTATACTGTGTCTGTGGCGCATTATGATGAGTGAGCCTAACACGAGTGAGACGATTTGATGAATGCATAAAGTTAAAAAGAGAAAACAACACGCCAACATATCCTTCAAACGTCAAATGAACTCATTAATTGGCGCGCCGCTCACAAACAAGGTTACCAAACCAGTGTTGCCAGTCTAGTACAATTTACAATTGTACTAGATGTAGTACATTTTGCTTGAGGCAGTGTTCACGTATAAAATATATATAAATATATTGTGTTCCTTGTTTGGGTTCGTTATCTATGAAAACCCCCTTTTTTCCTCTTCAATAAATTAGATGTCACTGCAAATAGAATTCGAAAAATCTGGTACATAACAAAAACATATTCTGGCAACACTGTACCAAATCAAACAAACTGTCATTCCGTCTACCTGGGGATCGGTTATATTGTGCGAATTTAGAGATGAGTATTAATCCGTAAATGTACCTACTTAACACTTACAGATTTGCTAATATCCATCTCTAAATTCCAGTGTGACACCGGAACCACTTGGAACTTTAGAGACGTTGTAACCGAACACCGAACTTTGATTTTAGTTCAAGGACGACTTACCCAACTCCGACTCAGCTGAGTTCTGTTTATAAATATGGACCTGAATATATTTGTATCCTTGTTTATCGATATATAAAAGAAGAAAGTGAGAATACACTCAGTGAGACACGAGATCCCTTTACAAATTATACTTTTTATGGATTTTTGTGTTCCGTGAACCGAATTTTCGTTGTTTTGAGGTTGGCTGTACTGGTCTTAGGTTCTGTGTGAATTTACTAGTGTTAGTGTTTATATACGTATCATTTGGTGAAATTTATAAAAACAAATAGACATAATTTCGAGAATCGAGTGCTTATAAAAAAGAATGGCCCACCTCGATCGGAGATGAACATTGTTCAAGAATGTGCCATAAGAAATAGAAAGTTTAAACATACTTTTAAGATTGAACAATATAAAAAAACTTCGTGGTTGTGCGGGTGTTAAAACAACATGCTTTGTTTTGTTTTCCTTGTTTAGTTTTTGCAAACAATGAAAATACTAGGTCAGAAAGGACAAAAACGGGTGTTAGGGAATTATCTCATTTATCAGCAAAAATTAAAAAACACTTTTTTTTTTATTATTATTATTAAACTACTGAACTACCCAATGAATCGAGCAAAAACCTGACACTGATTATATTAGGTAAGCATGTTTTTGCATTATTTTTATAATTTAAACTTGATGTTTCTTTCTTGCACTGTATTAATCGAGGAATTAATATTTTAAAATATAACGAGCCACCACTACCTTTAATTAAAAAAATCTAATTAAATATGGGGGATTTAAGGGGAGTTGAAATTAAAATTAAAAACAAAAAATCAAAAATGAAAAGCGATATCAACATTTTTAGTAAAAATCAAGCCCTATAAGGAGATGAGGCCTATTGATTGTGAAAACAATCTGGTAGAAAATGGGTAATTAAGGGAGTCTGTTAAACTGCGAAAAGTATCATTTAGAATGCCAGGCATTATATATCTTTATTCTAGTTTGTATTTGTGTAATAGTATGTATTGTGATAGGACTGATCCCATAAAATAAACATTTAAAACATTTTAGTTCTTATTTTATATAAAAGTTATTATTTTAAAAGGTATTTAAAAAATATATTTTTTATTTGACGTGTGACAAAATGTGAAAATGATAAAATTTACAATAAAAACTGAAAAATGGTAGGTAAAGTTTCATATAATATTTTTTACACAAAAATCAATGTCAAGCTTTCTACTTAACCTTATATATATTTAAAAATAATCTCAAATTATGAAGAAAAGTCAGTTAACTAATAATGTTTATAGGTGGTTTTCAATGTATTAAAAACAAAACAAATATCACAATAACTAAAATATTCATTTATTAATAGTTATAGTGCTTGAAAATAGCATGATGTTGATAATAACTACATTTAATACAAACTCAAATAATTATAAAAACAGCGATATTGGCTCTTGTACAAAGTTTTGGGCCGAACTTACAAAAATGATAAAATTATTGGAAAAAGTGAACACCCATTTCAAATTACCACGAGCCGCCACTGGCCCGGAGTGTCTTTTGACAAAAGGGGAAGGTAGACCTGATGAAGATGGAATATATTTTGGTTAAGAATTAAAAAAGAACATCTAAGTAATTATTCAATTATCTAACTCTGGATTTTGTTAGATAGCTTATCTGGACTAGGTGTTGTTCCTCTTTATGGAACTCGGGCTGAACTCAACAATTCGTAACACATAAGATAAAACAGGTGAACGTTTAACAACCTAATATATTTAGCCACATACTTTAATTTTCTTTTACTATACGATGAATGGTCGCACTGCGCAGCTTTCTGAGTGCCTTTTAAAATGAGATAAAAAAACTCCGCCATTTTGAACCCTTATTACGTGTTGCCTACATCTTGGCGCAATATTTTTAATAGGTGCGTTTTAATCATCCGCTTCTGCTTCGGAATTGTCAGTTTTCTTGTTTTAATCTGACAGGTTAAAACGACTAAACCGACAATTCCGGAAGCAGAAGCGGATGATTAAAACGCACCTGATATTTTGCTTGCTGCTGTCAGTGTCAGTTAACTCACTCGGACCAGTTGAAAGTTCCAAAATAACATCCACTCCAGGGATACAAATTCAGGATACGCAGAAGACTGCTGTTTTATTATAGGCGGTTGTCATATATTGTATTATCCGAGTTGCACAGTGTATAAACTGAAACATTGAGATCCAAAGTGCCGACGCAGAGTGAGCGATCTGATTCTTTAGCTGTATGTGTATTTGTATTTAGCTCAATATATTTTTACATGTAACAATTTTAATCATAGAAAAAAAACGATCAAGTAATACAATATGTTTGGAGGTACAAGATTTACCCTGAGGTCCTCGCCTGATTCGGTAAATCAGTCGACAATAACAAAGTACCGATAACTAATGTAAGAATAGATAGCAAAAAATGTCAGAAATCTCGTTGGATCTTGTAGCTAGCAAAGTCAAAAAATAAACTATATCACTTCCTATTAAAATCTACGATGAGAGGTAACAAAATAATTTGGCAAAATGAAAAGAGAACTGTCACAATTTTAATATGGTGAAAGAGGAAGAGGAACGTAGTTTCGATTTCACTAAGTTTAAATCGATTGGCTGATATTTATTATTTAATCACAACTTAAAATACCTAATTACTTTATAATTCCCGATATACGATTTATAGGCGTCAATGGGTAGTCGGACAGCGTAACGCCCGGCCCACTCAGTAACTGTCTCTTCTTCTTGTTTCCAAATCGTTTAAATATTGCTTGAGACGTGCTTTCTTTGAAATTTTTGATCAACTAATATATTTAATTTACCTTGATGTTATAATAACTGTTTAATATTTCTAAGGTCAAATGAAGGAAAGTACTTGAGAATTTATATAAATTTACTTTGATATTATAATAACTGTTTACTATTTCTTAGGTCAAATGAAGAAAGGTACTTGAAAATTTATATGAGATTTTTATGTAAAATCTTTAGATTAATTAAAATAATTGCCAAATTATTACAAAGCAAATCAAAATCAAATCAACTATTTAACTATTTAATAAAAACTAAAACAATATTATTTACTTCAAATAGCTACTACAACATAAAATAAAAAAAGTAAAAAAACATGTAATTAAAAAAATTGCTGGTAACACCGGACATTGCATTGGTAGTTATTTAACTAAATAATTAAAAGATTACGTGGTACAATAGTCACAAGTATAATATGGAGATGTTTCTGGAATGTATTCACATGCCTCATGCGCCCAGCCTTCACACTTACATTGTATCCACTCTTCTTTAAATAATTCTTGGCATATGATGCAGAAAGTCTTTTTTTGGGTTGCAAGGTTTTTGGATTCTGGCAAACAAGTTGGTGTAGGTTTGCAG